AGAATATGTGGTTTTCTCAAAACTATATTCATAGACTTAGGCTTGTTTCAAATCATCCAATTTAATTTTAAAATACATGTTGAGCCTTCATAAATCATTTTACTGCATTCACTTTTAATTTCCTACCAAGTCAAGCTCATGGCCACAAAAACAAATTATATATACCATCCTATAATTTTATCCAAAATAAAGCATGACTATTAAAGTTTTGATAAAATACTTCCTTTTTGGCAATTATGGATAATTTATCAAGAGATCATCATCACATGTAACACATCATATTATAGACATTATTGAGAGAATGGTCACCATAACCAAGTTCCATCAGAACTCTCCCTTTGTGCTTACATATTTGAATGAACCACATCAATTTCTCGTGTTTCATCCTTAGTACTCAAAGCCCTTGATCAAATCACATCTCTATGAGTATCACTACCTTAAGTAGTTCATATTCAAGCACAAGGAGGCACAAAAATACAAGGTATTCAAAACCGATACTTTTAAATTTGTTAGCACTTATCACTTAATGTCCATACACTCCATACATATTCATAAAACAATTAGCCAAAATATAACCAAAGCACATTAAACAAAGTTATTGAATCATCTTTTCCTATGACCTTACCATATAATGTGGGATATATTTCATACCTCAAAACCATGTAGTGTGGTACTTGGGCTTTCTTGATTCATCACATTTTCTTGTTTGACAAGCTTTTGTGATTTTGGAAGTGCACGCAACTGATGGAGAATATATTAGTCATCGGTTTCATATGTCACAAAGTGTCCATCTCTTCGGCACTTAGATTCTCTTGTCTTACACCAAGAAAATATCTTTTTCATATCATTATTTCAAATATCACAATTTCGATTCTGCCACTGATCTTTAGCGATTCTATGCTGCCACCAAATCTCTCTATATATCTCTTCGTTTCGAAGAAACCAAGTTACGTTTATAGGTATTGTATTTCTTCTTCTTTCTACTATTTTCAGATCGAATACTCTTCACATATAGTCTCTTATCTTGCTAACTCTACATTACATCTCTCTGAAGTTGTACTATAATAAACCATACTCAT